GCTACCCTGTCACGGTGAGAAGGATTAGATATGGCACCTTCAAGAAGCGGGGGCTGAATGCACCTGGAAGCAGGACACCTGGAAAACACGTTTCTCCTTGAACCGAGGTTACGCGTTGCGCTGGGAGGGACGGGACTTTCCCCAGCTGTAGCCTGAGACTTGACAGTGACTGTGTATTGGGCAGAAAGTTATCACCCAAAGTAAATGTTATTTAAATATGACTTGAAAGAAATATTATTCATTATTTAAATATCATTAAAAAAAAATTATCTACTTAATTTCGGGCTTCAGAGAGCAAAAGGGAAAAGGCAGGTGGTGGCTTTGCCCTGCTGATGTCAAACCAGCCAGTGTCTGATCTCTCATGTTTTGTCTTAATGAATGTCCTCTGGTGATGCTCCTGGTATTAAAAGGATGTTAATTGAATTTTCCAGGTGTTTTGGGTCTCCACCACAAAGTGAGGTTGTGTGAAATAACATGGTGAAATAACGCCCCATCCTTTGTGTTTTCTAAATGTCTGGGACAAAGTTATCATTTAATATTTGTACTGAGGGTTTCATGACATCTCCTCACCTAGCGGAAGCTTTCAGGAAACGTCGGCGCTCAGGATTCATCAGAATAAAACTGGTAGATCTGAGTTAATTCTGTTCTATCTTCCAAGCAGCCGTGTCAAATGATGCTTTTGAGCAAACCGTTGCGCAGTCACCGCTAAAGCATATGGAAATAAATATATCTTCTGGAGAGGATTCACCATGGCCACGCTCAGCCCATTCCTACAGCGGATGCTCCGTTGGGTTTGTCTCGGGGAAATTCTTTCCTGTGCTGGGGGTGAGCCCCTGGGGCAGGTTGCCCCGAGAAGCTGTGGCTGCCCCATCCCTGGAGGTGTTCAAGGCCAGGTTGGACGGGGCTTGGAGCAACCTGGGCTGGTGGGAGGTGTCCCTGCCCAGGGCAAGGGGGGGAACTGGATGAGCTTTAAGGTCCCTTCCAACTCCAACCATCCTATAAGTCCATGTTTTCGGCATCCTTCAATGCAGCGTTAGCTCATCAATCAGATCTCCTTGTTGGTAGTAAAGGTTGGTTGGTTTTTTTTCAATGCAGAAATTTGCTATAGTTGGATAAATAAAACTGTAAGACCAGCTGGTGGCACAGGCAGCCCGGGCAGGTCCCTACGGAGAGCTGCTCCGGGGGCGCCGGCACAGCCAGAAAGGGTTCGGAGATCAGGGAATTGAAAGGGGCTTTTGCTGAGCAGGTCAAAACAATCATCAGCTGGAGAAAGGTCCCATGGGAGAGCGGCTTCTACAAACACCCGTGATAAAACCAGCCTGGGCGAGCTGCTCCCGCGCGTCTCCCCTCCCACCACCACTTCGACCCATCAGAGGGTCTTCCCGAGGAGATGCAGGCACCGTGTCTCCCAGCACCTTCCCACCAAGCAGGTAAAACCAGGTTGGACACTTCCCATCGGTGACCCTGGTCGCGCCGCCTCTCCCGTGCTTGAAAACCTTCCCGGGTGCTGGGAGGGACAAGAGGACTCAGCCCGGTGCTTCGCCACGCTCTCTGTTGTCCCTGGACCCCTGACACGTTCCACAGCCCTTGGCTTCCACAGGGACTCGACTTTAGCTGTTTGTGTGCCTCTTATTGCCAAAAAAAATAAATAAAATACAATAATATTGACCGACACCTGAAAAATGTGCACCAGTCCCTTCTTGTGGCAGCCGGACTCGGCATTAGAAGTTATGAGAAGCAGATTTTTGTTTTTTTTTCTTTTCAATTTCACGTTACGGTAGTGTTTTATTTATTTTTTTTTAAAAATTTCTGCATTCGAAAGTTCAATCGGCAAACCTAAACAAACAAACGGGGAAAGAAAAAAAAAAAAAAAAAAAGCCGAATTAATGCTTCATATGGCTGAAGGTTCCCCCATTTCTGCTGAGATGGGAGAAAACTGAGAAGAAAAGCTCCTGCTCTGTGAAGTCCTGCGGCACGGGCTCACGCCCACAAATAGCCCCCTCTGCACTTGGGAAGGTTTGTAAATATTTTTATTCTTAAAAATAGTTTGTTTAATATTTAAGTATTTTAAAATATTTAGCCTGTTCTTAACCTTGAAGCTGTTTAAGCTATGATTGTCTTCTCCAGGGCTGGAAGTTCACGTACGAGCTGGTGACCACAGGTCACGATTGTCCTCTCTGGAATGGAAACGGGCGCCTCTAGGACACAATCCTTTTGATGATGAAACTGCTGTCGGCAGAGAAGAAACGCGTCCTTCAAGGCTATGGGTCGTCCAGGTGGAGCTACAGCTACATCTCCATTACTAAGCGATGTTGGCCAAGAAGACCTGAGGTCGGTAGAGTAAAATGAGTGGCGCTGGGGCTTAATTACCCTCCTGCCCTCGCTTCAACCTTCTATATTTTTTTTAATTCAGCCTATTCCGGGTGAGTGGATGCTGTTTTGTGGAGGTTTGCTTGAAAAACACTCTCCTGCCCCCAGCTACAACTGATCTAGGGAGGTCTTAGCTGGGATGTAGACATCTGTAGATGGATCTTCCATCAGACAACTCATCTGCAGAGGGGCTGAATGGGGGAGATGGGAATAGCCAAGCTTTGGTTTATATAGAATATATTTTAAACCCATTACGTGGATATTTGAGTTGGTCATAGACGGGTCACCTCAATCACGGCAAAGCTGTGCCAGATGCAATACCACTGCTCCAGCCCCGGCCCAGCACACGCAAGGATTTTTCTTCAAAAGCAGAAAAACGTAGAAATTTAAACAAAATTAAAAAAAGCCCAAATAATTTCAAGCGCACGGCTTTGCGTCGTGATGAAAAGGCGGCACCAGAACTAATGAGACTGCAGAAAAGCACCGATCCAGTCTGAAAAAACAACAAAACAGAAAGGAAAAAAAAAATTCCTTAACATTTCCAGAAATCAGTGGTGAGGATCTGAATTTTCCACATTTTGGAATGTGTTTGGAATGGACTTGAGTGTTTTACACTTGAATGAACATTTTGCTGTTTCTTAGCATATCATTAGTACAGTGTATATAAATCACAGCAGAATTATTCTCTTTTAATATCTGCCTGCAGAATTGCGTCCTTCACCTGTTTGACGTCGAAGCTTGGGTTAAAGGCAGAAACACAGTTGCCTTGTATTTTTCTAAAAAAAAAAATAATAAACAAACGCCATTTTCTCTTGCACTTACTTTATGGATTAAACTCTGATGGTTCCACAGTATTTCTCTCTTAGGGATTTATTTCACGGATTCATTTCATTTCTCCACAAATCCATCTAACTCGTAGAAATGATGGATGGAGAAAACCTCACTGTTTTGTCCGGCTTCATCCTCTTGGGCTTCTCTGATGCCCCAGAGCTACAAACCACCATCTTCACCGTTTTCTTATCCCTCTACGTTTTAATGGTGCTGGGGAACCTGATGATGATCCTGCTAATCAACGCCGACCCCCAGCTCCACACCCCCATGTATTTCTTCCTGACACACTTATCTTTCATAGATTTTTGCCTTTCCTCCGCTATTGTCCCAAAGGCGCTGCAGACCCTCCTGCTGGGGAGAAGCCACATCTCTTTTTTGGGTTGCTTTGCCCAGCTATATTTTTTCCTTGCTCTGACCATCTGCGAGTGCTTCCTCCTGGGGGTGATGGCTTACGACCGATACACAGCAGTGTGCCAGCCGCTGCTTTACACCACCATCATGTCCAGGGCGCGTTGCTACGGCATGATGGTGCTGGTGTACACCACGGGCTTCCTCACCTCCCTGGTGCACACCATCCTGGCGGGGAGGTTGTTCTTCTGCCAGACCAGGAGCATCAACCACTTCTTCTGCGAGCTGCCCAGCCTCTTGCAGCTCTCCTGCTCGGACACCCGCGCAAACGAGGTCTTGCAGCTTTCCAATGCCGGGCTTAACATCGTGGGCTCTGTCCTGATGATCCTGCTCTCCTACGTCTACATCCTCCACACCATCCTGCAGATCCCTTTGGCCAGGAGGAGGCTTAAAGCTTTCTCTACCTGCGCCTCCCACCTGACCGCCATCACCATCTTCTACGCGCCGGGGATGCTCGCCTACGTCCAGCCTCGCAAACCGTGCTCGGGGGATCAGGCCAAGCTGGTTTCGGTGTGTTACACCCTCCTGACCCCCACCCTCAACCCCCTCATCTACACCCTGAGGAACAAGGAGGTGAAGGGGGCCCTGAGGAGGCTGTGGGTGCGGAAGCTGGTGCTGCATCTGACCAGGCTTTGAAAACGCTCTTCGGCGCTTTGGAGGTAATGAAGGAATAAGCGTTATTGGTCATTATTGGTCTGCGTACAGCCAAGGAGGTCACGCTGGGTGCGGAGAACTGGCGTAACACATCGTTCTCGTCAAACCACTGCGATTTATTTTAATCGTGGGGTGATCCTTCAGTAATTAATCGGAATAATTGTCAGCCCTTTCCTAGCAAAACTGAAACAGTGCCACGGTGTTTTCTGTCTAAATTGCGTTACAGGAAAATACATCCGCAAAAAGAGTGCTGAAATTGGAGGTGAACAATTACCAATGTTTCCGTTGCCTGCTTGGTAATAATTTTTCCCAAATGGGCTTGAAGAACTGAAGATCTGTTAAAGTCAGCGATTATATGGAGAGCTGCAACGTGGCCTGGACTCTCTGTATTTTTTCGGGAGCAGTATTAAATCTGCTCTCACGAAGGCTCTGCTGAGACAGGCGCCAGCGAGGTCCCCACCGTAAAGGCTGCAGGTGGGAAATAGCAGTTGTCAGCACAAGAAAGGGCTGAGAAGGTTTGAGGGATAGTGTCAGAGGCCACCCTGACAAGAGCGGTACGTTTATCCAACGTGAGTGACATGGCGATAGCAGGGTGGAATGTGACCACCCAGGTCAAGGTCCAACTGTGACCTCAGATGCCATTTCTGACCGACATCTAGAAGAACTATCAGAACGCACAAGGCCCCGGTGCTGTCTCCGGGGACCTGGAGCTGTGCTTGTCTCTTACTACCAACAGACTAGATGTCTCCTACTACCAACAAGGAGATCTGATTGATGAGCTAACGCTGCATTGAAGGATGCCGAAAACATAGACTCATAGGATGGTTGGAGTTAGAAGGGACCTTAAAGCTCATCTAGTTCCACCCGCTGCCCTGGGCAGGGACACCTCCCACCAGCCCAGGTTGCTCCAAGCCCCGTCCAACCTGGCCTTGAACACCTCCAGGGATGGGGCAGCCACAGCTTCTCGGGGCAACCACAGCCAGGGGATCGCCACCCTCACAGGAGAGAATTTCCTCCTAATATCTCATCTAAATCTCCCCTCTTGCAGTGTCAAACCGTTCCCCCTCACCCCATGGCTCCCCTCCCTGACCCAGAGTCCCTCCCCAGCTCTCCTGGAGCCCCTTTAGGCACTGGAAGGGGCTCTGAGGTCTCCCCTTTTTGGCCTTCTCTTCTCCAGGCTGAACGCCCCCAACTCTCCCAGCCTGTCCTCCCAGCAGAGGGGCTCCAGCCCTCCCAGCATCTCCGGGGCCTCCTCTGGCCCCGCTCCAACAGCTCCGTGTCCTTATTATGTTGAAGACTCCAGAGCTGAATGCAGTTTTTAACATTTAATTGAGCCAAGCCTTTTATGTTTAATGAGCTGATCAATTTCTGGAAGAACATATAGCTTGTATAATGACCAAGTGAATACATTTTAGGGTTTAAAATAAGCATCTTCGTAAACCGTGGTCTTCCTAAAAGAGCTGTAGTGAACGACGAGTGAATGCAATGGCAGCCAGTTAAAACCAGCTTTAAGCTGGTGTGAAGTGAAATGCTAAAAGGCTAAAATGCCTTTAATCAAAGTTTCGGAAGGATTTTTGCTGAAAAGTAGAGGTGTTTGGACAATTTCCCCAAGAAACAGAGCGCGGGACATCTGAAGTGCCTTACTTGGCATTATTCAGAAGGAGGGATGAAAATTGTTAACACGCAGCAAAGGAGCTCATCACTCCTTTCTGCTCCGTCCTTCCATCTTCCGTGGGTAGGGATACATCGGAGGAGGCTGGATGTGGTGCGGTAGCTGTGTTTGGGGCACTGGATGGGGAAAAAAACCAGTTCCTCTCTCCCTGAGACCTCACAGAGTGCAACCAGGGTAATTGCCATGGCCAGCCCCACCTGGGGCCTCCACCCACACCCTCTGCCCAGGGCTCGGGCCACTATTTAAGCTCAGAACCAGGTGTTTAGCTGCTTTCAGAGATGGTCCTGGTCCTGGTCCTGGTCCTGGTCCTGGTCCTGGTCCTGGTCCTGGTCCTGGTCCTGGTCCTGGTCCTGGTCCTGGTCCTGGTCGTTGCTGCTCTGCTGGGGCGCTGTGGGGCCATCCCCTGCGGGTGAGGCTGTTGCCCACCCCACATCGTGGCCACCTTCAGCTCCCAGTTTGCCTTCCCTTGGGGGAGTAACTGGTCCTCGCCGCTCCCTCGGCCACGTTGCATCATGCAAAGAGCATGAACATCTCTTTATGTCAGACAAGACCCTCTGGTGTCCGAGCTGAGGATAAAGACGGCTGCTATGAACGGTGAGTGTTATAATGACCTCCTTCCCACCCTTCCTCTGGCTGTCTCTTAAGGAAAATGGCCTCTGCCCACCCTCCTGGTGGGTTTTATTTTATTCTATATTGTGTACCCACAGTGTAGACTCTTATAGCTGAGCCAAAAAAAAAAAAAAGCAGCTTGGATTATTGGTGTAACAACGCAGTGGGTGTGTTTAGGTTGTGATTTCTATGGCCATCTACAAGAAATCATGAGAGGAGTGTTTATCTTTTATTCTAGTTATGAAAAAACCAATTTCCAGACTAATTCAGACACAGTCATGTGCAAATTAACATGATGGGACAGATGACCCCCCCCTGCCCTTTCTCTCCATGGAGACCGGGCATCCCAGCCATCATTGCTCAAGGTCTCTAACAGGTTGCAGTCGGTCATCTTGGCTTTGGAGAACATGAAGTTCTGCCACATCCCTCTGCGTCACCTTCTCAGCAGTGCCGGGGTCGGCTGGGAGGAAATACCATTCACAGCTGCCCCACGACGAGAAAATAGGGGGAGGAAAAAAAATACTTCTCCGCAGCCAGGTACATTCAGTCAGCCTGAACTCTTTGCCGATAGGGAGAAGTATCACTCCTGGTCTTCCTAAAGCAGATGGGACATGCAGGGCAGAGGAAGCCCGTTTCTCTCCCACTCAGTGAATCTGGCTGAGTTAGAGTCATAGAATGGTTTAGGTTGGAAGGGACCTTAAAGATCATCCAGTTCCACCCCCCCTGCCCTGGGCAGGGACACCTCCCACCAGCCCAGGTTGCTCCAAGCCCCGTCCAACCTGGCCTTGAACACCTCCAGGGATGGGGCAGCCACAGCTTCTCGGGGCAACCACAGCCAGGGGCTCACCACCCCACCACCCGCACAGGAAACAATTTCTTCCTAATGTCTAATCTAAATCTCCTCTCTTGCAGCTTAAACCATTCCCCCTCACCCCATTGCTCCCCTCCCTGATCCAGAGTCCCTCCCCAGCTCTCCTGGAGCCCCTTTAGGCACTGGAAGGGGCTCTGAGGTCTCCCCTTTTTCGCCTTCTCTTCTCCAGGCTGAACCCCCCCAACTCTCCCAGCCTGTCCTCCCAGCAGAGGGGCTCCAGCCCTCGCGGCGTCTCCGGGGCCCTTATGGCCCATGGTCTTACGGCCGTAGGGAGGACGGTGTAGGATGAGACCCAGGTGGGTGGCTGGGAGCGCTGCGATGCTCTCGGGTACGGGCAGAGACAAGCCGGAGCTTTCATTCCCCGGGGATAAAAGGTCCCCTCCAGGTCTGGAGGCAGCACAGCCGTGAGCGCGCGCGTTTGTTTGTGTTTCAGCACGGACACAACTGTGCTGCCTCCAGGCTGTGATGCTCTGGTCACACAATGACTTAGCATCTTCCCGGCGCTGGATCACCGTGCTCACCCCCCGGCAGCTCAGTGCTCTCCGCTTCTCCTCCCTTTCCCGACGTTCCAGGGCACGTCCCCCTGGAAGCAAATGAGTTTTATATTTTTTTATTTTTTTTTTCCTTGTAGTTAGCCCAAAGTGAGGTGTGTATTTTTGGATATACCTCACCAAAAGCTTCCGCTCCTCCTTGAAGGTGCCTCCGGAGGAATCACCGCTTGAATCGGTGCAACTTCTTGAGAAGCGAAGCTTACGAGGGAAATGCCTTAGGAGCTTATTTTTACCACCTCTTATGATGTTACATCACTTCACAGAAAAAAAAAATAAATAAAATAAACAAAACCAAGAAATGTCAAGGAAATATTTATCATGACGGTAGGTTGCGTTTGTGAACATGGAGTCTCTGCAGATTTTAAAGCGTGGTTAAAATGCGCTGTACCCGCTCCTGCAAAGAAAGGCGGAGAGATGACATAAAGCCCATCAAAAAGGGAGGCAGCAGGAGTTTTATCTACTGCCCGGGGTCAGTTTGGTCAGCAGGCAACTCCCAAAAACGTTATTTGCTGTCGCTTTCCTCAGCGCGTCCTTCACCTCCTTGTTCCTCAAGCTGTAGATGAGCGGGTTGAGCATAGGGACGAGGAGGGTATAGAAGATGGCGGTGACCTTCTCCATCTCTAGTGAGTACCTGGCGCCCGGTTGCATGTGGCTCAGTCCCGCGGGCACGTAGAACAAGGTAACGGTGAGGAGGTGGGAGGCGCAGGTGGAGAAGGCTTTGTGCCTGCCTTCGGCAGACCTAATCCTCAGGATGGAGAAGAGGATGTACACGTAGGAGATGATGATGATGAAGAGGACGGACATGGAAATGGTCCCGTTGAAGGCTACAAGCAAAAGCTCGTTGAGGCGGTCATCGGAGCAGGTAAGTTTCAGCAGAGGGTTAGTGTCGCAGAAGTAATGGTTGATGACATTGGGGCCACAAAAAGGCAAGGGCAGCAAGCAACAGGTTTGGATGAGGGAGTTCAAGACCCCCCCGACGTACGAGCCGGCCACCAGCTGAACGCAGACCCTCTGGGGCATGGCGGTGGCGTAGAGCAGCGGGTTGCAGATGGCCGCGTAGCGGTCGTATGCCATCACAGCCAGCAAGAACACCTCTGTGGTCACAAAGAGAAGGAAAAAGAAATGCTGGGCAAAGCAGGCGGGGTACGAAATGGTTTTCTTTTCCACCAAGAAGCCGATAAGCAGCTTCGGAGAAAAGACGGAGGAGTAGCAAAGATCAACGACCGAGAGATTGCAGAGGAAGAAGTACATGGGAGTGTGGAGCCGGGGGTTTGTCTTGATCAAGGTGATCAGCCCGAGGTTGCCCGCCACGGTGACGAGGTAAATCAGGAGGAAGATGACGAAGAGAGGAGCCTGCAGCTTTGGCTCGCTGGTCAGGCCCAGGAGGACGAACTGGGTGACGGGGGTGTGATTGCCTCCAGCCATCCTGCCGCACCTCACAGCGCCGCGCGCCTGTCGGGAGGAGGAGAAACCGAGTGAAGAGGAAAAGGCAGCGGCACAGCCCGCACGAGGCGCTGCCGTCAGCAGGACCGCCGTCAGCCTAATAATTACCAGTACAAAGCTTTGATGTTTGAGATGACATCTAACCGGGCTTCAGTTCTCAGCAAATCCTCGCAGGCAGAGCAACTCACCCCAAACCCACCAGAAGTTGCGTTTTGTCTTTACTCTCTTTAATCAGGAGGCTGAATTTAAGAAAATAATTAGGTTTTCCTGTTTTTTTGTTGTTTTTTTTTTTTTAAATAACCCCAAAAGTGAATGATTTGAAAGCTGGAGAAGGGGCGAGGAATTTGCAAACTTCCCCTCGTTTCATCGGCATAGGAGGCAGAAAAGGGGAACGCGCTTCGTTTACCCCACGAGAGGGTTTTGTTACGCTTGATTTTCTTTTTATCCAGCGCAATTATTATTTACATATAAATAAGATATATTTACACACACATATATATAAAAATAATATAATTTAGATGTAAACACACAGCAAAAATAGGCTGAGCTGCCACGTTTCTGCCGATGCTCTCGGTCGGGTCCCAGCACCGAGGGGAACTATTCCCTCCCGGGGTGGCAAATCGCAGTGAAAAAGGGGTTTTACTACGCTTAATTTCTATCTGCTCCAGCTCGATGATTATTTACGTGTTTCTCTCCGCTCGCGGTGGGGAAGGAAGGTGTTTTCAGGCTGCTCCTCACAATCGCGGGACTAAGAAATGACATGTTCTATACGTGATAGAAAGCAGTGAGCCGGATTTGCGAGGAATTTGGGATTTTTCCATTTCAAACCACGTAAACACCTTGAAGGCACTATTTTATTTTTTTTATTATTTTTTTTTTTTTTTTTTTTAGATCAAACCCCTCCGGTGCCAGTTACCTGCTCATCCTAGTGGGGCGCAGCAGATGTTGGGAATCCTCGCTGCGCTTGAATGATGTGTTCCTGGTATAAAGAGCGGCGCTGGTATTAATTAACTATGACATTGGCGCGACAAACAGCGGTGGGAATATTTGTTTAGAACAGAAAACGTAAGGGGGGGAAAAAAAAACCCCAAAACCCTGGTGGTGAAGGTAAGGTGAAGGAGAAGGAGGACAGGCGATGGCGTGGTACCTGGGGGTGGGAAAAAGGCGCTTTACTCCCCAGGAAACGGGGCAGGATGAGGTTTCTCGCGCCGCACGCCGTCCTGGCGCGGGGAAGGAGGCGGTGGGCGATGCCCGGCAGTTTTGCCCACGCGCCAGAGCATCGGCGAAGGCGTTCCATCTTTACAGGTATTTATGAGGTTCTAACGTAACCAGAAAGAGCTGGTAGGACGTTTCTAGGTTTTGGCTGCAGCTGCTTTTCCCTTCCACTAAATGAACATTGGTTGTTTTGGGGTTGTTTGGCTTTTCTTTCTTTTTTTTTTTTTTTTTTTGAGAACACTCAAACATCTTTATATAAAAAAAGCCCAGCCAGCCCCACTGCTGGGACCCAGCTCTCGCCTTCTGCAAACGAGGAATGGTATCGCAGCACGGGCAGAAGGTTGCTCGAGGCTCGGCGGAGCGTTTTTTTTATTCTTCCCAGAGAAAAATCTCAACGGTTTCCTCGTGGAAAGCCGCGTAAGGCTCCCCGGCTCCCGTGTAGCTCCGCAGCGCGGTCCTGCTCTCGCCTTCCAGCGGTCTTCCCTGATCGCTCGAGTGCATTCAGGGCAGAAAAGCAGCTTTTCAAATGTTTTATTACAATAACATGGTGACACGTGCTTAGAAAGCCTGAAGATGACGCCTAGAAATTCAGACATATGGAAAATATACAGCTCGGGTGTATTTTGCTAATGAGTTTTTGCCCTGAATTGGTAAATCTGAAGGCTGAGGGGTTTAATTTTACTCTACCTTCGAAGCCCGAGCCTACAGCCCTGCGTTCCTGCATCACACCACGTCCTTACCCGGCGTCTGGTCGCGTCTCTCTGATCACAGGACGCGTGCCTCGTCCCGTGGCAGAAAGGAGACAGGAGAGCCGTTTTCCTCCATTCCTCGAAGGACCCTGAGGCGACAGGAGGAGGGGGGCGCCAGTTTGCGGGGCGGGGGGGGACGGACGCTCGGACGTGAGACCGAGGAACGCGGCAGCTCCGTCCGCAAGGAGGGAGGGTGGTGGCACCCGCCTTTTGTCCTGAGCGGGTGACGACGTTGTCCCGAAGGACTTGGCAGGGACGGCTTCTGGGTTTATTTACTCCTTTGGCCCTCATCGATTAAAATCCCTGCAGTAAATCACAGCTGAGCAAAGAGCTTCACGGAGGGATCGTTAGAAACACTCTAACGAAGTTTGGACTTGGGTCCTGATGCCCCTCCAGTGAACGGTGCGGGGCTCGTTAACCTTTCTTTGCTCAGGAGGAGAGGGAGTTTTCATCCGTGCTGAGCCACAGGTGGAAAGAGGCCACACGAGGTGCTAAATAACGGTGAACGGGATGCTGGAATTCGGAATGTAGTCTCCTGTTTGGACCGCGCAAGTTTGAAGCTTCGCTTAAACGATATGGTTTAAGGCAGCTGAAAGAGTGAGCGCTGTAACCAAAGTCAAACGCGCACGTGAATGGTGTTCTCTCCCTACAGGTGTGACTGATTTTACGGCTCGGACTTCGAAAAACCTGATTTCTCAAGCTGACGTGATGAGCTAAATCCTAACCAGGTCAGCAAGAAGTGGGCAATACGAAGGACTCCACCACCAGTGATGGAGACCAGGGGCAGCGAGGAAGTTTGCAGTTTCTCTGTCTTGATGATGACTTCATTTACTTCCTCGCTATACGCATTTGCCTGACTCTTACTTCCAAATTTATTTTTTTTTTTTTAATCATCTTTCATTCTTTCACCACAAAACCATTTCACTGTTACCTTTCCACGTGGTCACAATGGAGGTACTCACCGATAAACCCGGATTATTTAATTAAGAAGCTCCTGTTAAGACAAAGGGCGGATTGAAACACTGGAGCGAATATGCACCGAGGAACCACAGTTTGTCTTTACTGCACTTTAAGAGGAAATAACACAAGTACCGAAATCTGAGTAAACTACTTCCAAGTGAGTATCGGTTAAGGATAAATGGACCTTAGCGACGCGGTGACTGAGTAAATCTGGATGGAAGGTAACGGGGGTGGAGGGGGAAGGCAGGGGAGGAGGGAGAGGAAGGCCGGAGGGGGTGGGATGTGGTGGACACCGAAACCTCCCAGCAGAGCCAGGCTGTACCTTAAAAGCCTCCTGGGAAAACAGCCTGGGCTCCGCTCCTCCATCGGGAAAGCCAAAGCAGCGACAGGATGTTTCCAAGTTGCTTAAACTGAGGGTTTTTTTTTCCAGCTGAAGGGAAAAAGCTCAGAGTGACAAGAGGTGACGAGGATTCGGGGCTGAAAGCAGAAATACTGCTGGGCAGAAGCCGTGTTAAACACATAAATGTACAGAAAGGATAAAAACATCACCCCGCACATTGGGATTGAAAATCTGGTTTTCCCTTTTACAGCGCTTTCCCGGCTTTCTGGGTAGTAGCAAGATGGGATGGGCGACAGTGGCACTGACACTGCTGGAGAGCACGGATGTCCACCTCAAAGCGCACCGGCTCTGGCCTGCCATCTGGGCTTCCTCTTGCCAAATCATCTCCAGTTTAGGGTTTTTGGGACTGAGGCTAAGCCGAGATCCTGTGAAAACCACCAGGTCAGAGAAGCAGGCCTGTAAATTTCGGATGCTCTGCTCCGGGTGCCCCTTCCCCCAGGCAGGACACGCTGCAGGCGGGCAGGTCCGACTCCAGAAGCTCCGTGCACAGCACCAGCTGCTCTTCTTCACACTACAGTTAAGAAAATGACTTAAAAAATTGAGATTATTTTAGCAACACTAATGGAATACCCCCTGTGAAAAAGCCCAGCTTCTTATTTTATAACTTGCCAGATCTTTGATGTCTACAAAGCCCCCAAAAGTCACCGTTAATGCCAGGATTAAAACTGGAATTTTCTGCATTCAGGCCTGTGTGTGATTTGTTGGCTGTTGTCGCTGATACGTCTCCCTCTAAACCTGCAATTTTTTTTTTTTTTTCTTCAGCAACAAAGTTTAAGCCACCTCTCCAGAGAACGAGAAACACTCTCTTTGTGTATAAATTTTATTCTGAAAACAAAACCAAACCCAGCACATCGCTTTGACAAGATGAAAAGACTATGCAAAATACAGAATAAAATAAAATAAGGGGGGGGGGGGGGCAGGGAAGAGGCACTATCTTTTTGTCTTCTTCGCCTGGGACCTGTCTGTGTGTGTACAACACGGAAGGATGCCTCGGGCAACCAGGGAGTGAACAGGTTTCCACACTAGGTTTATTGTTATTTTTCTTTTTAAACATAAACCAGAACCTAGCAGCAAAATTCAGGCTTGGAGAGCTGCAGTCTCAGCTCAGCTTGTCCTCGGTTCACGCACTGGGAGCGGGCCAGAACTTTGCTGGAATTGGGATTACAACTTTTCTTTTTTTTTTTTTAACAAAGAAAAGCGACTACAATAAGGGAGGGAAGAACCTAATCCTCATTAAAGGGAGAGGTTCACCTCATTATGGCAAGTCTCCTTCCCACCTCCAGCTTGCCTTCCCTTCACGTCTCCCCGGTTTCTCCTTCAGCCTCTGCTGCTTGCACCTACCTTTTTTTGGATGGATGACAGCAGGCAGAAATCCCTCTATCATTTCTACACAGTTCACTCTCTAGCTGGTCAATTTTTTATTTCTTAAAGCATAGCGGGTGTTTGTCAACAGCGCTTATCTGATTCACTAACCTAGCCTTGGTGGGAAGCGCTTTAGCAACATCCTTCCTAGGACTAACACGCAGGACAGAAAGACGACCGTTTGTTATTAGCCTAAAATTCCTGTTTGAGCAGAAAAACCAATCATGGGGGTTTGTGGTCGGCCAGTCGGGCTATTTGCCCTTTTTGGCCTTTGCGGCTGTGGCGTTGTTGGTCTTGGCTTTCTTCTTGGCCGATCCCTTGGTCTCCGGCTCTTTGCGTTTGGCTGATGTGATGGAGCCCGTCACCTTGAAGAAGTCGTCCAGCCGGCCCTGCGTGCTGCCCTGCCGGCTTTTGCTCAGCCTCTTCACCCCGTTGCGGATCCGCTCTTCATTGAACTGCTTCTCCCCGCACATGAACTGGACGAGCTGCTCTTCGTTTGGCTCGGTCCATTTCAGCTCAACGGTGTCGGGGTTGACCACATCAGGCTCTAGAAAGAGCTTCTGGGCCTCTTTGTGCAACCAGTTCTCAGGCAGAGGGTACTTCTTGGTGTCTATCTGCTGAACGATCTTCTCAATGGTTTTGTGCTCCTTGATGAGCTCGATAGCACGTTTGGGCCCAATGCCGCGGATGCTCTCGCAGTAGTCACAGCCCAGGAGGATGCACAGATCCACAAACTGTTCCCAGGTCAGGTCTAGATCCTGCAGAATACGGTTCAGGTGAAACTCCTGGATGGGCAGCTTCTTCGTCTCGCTGGCAGTGAGATGCCTCATCAGTACGGGACTGCCGAAGGTCAGGCAATCCATATCTTCTGTGGCAGCCGCATAGACCTTCCCAGCCTTTACCAAGGTAGCGCAGCTGGCTTCGGCCTCCCCCGGCGCCTCCACGTAGGGGATGCCCATCAGTGTTAGTAACTTCTTACACTCATCAGTGTGCTGCTGGGTCACCTTGACCAGCCTCTTGCTGTACTTCTCAATGTTCTCCTCCTCTCCGGCCTCCTGAGCCTCCTGCAGGTGCTTCTCGGCCTCAGCCCGGCGCTCAGTCCGCTTTGACAGCTCCCCCGATTTCAGCTGCGGGGGCTTGCCGTCAAAGACATAAACCGGCTTGATGCCATTCTCCACCATACGGATGGTCCGGTAGAACATGCCCATCAGGTGGCTCGTGGTTTCGCCCTCCTCGTTCTGCAGGACCTCAGCTCCCTGCCGCACAGCGATCAGGAACTGGTAGATGCTCATGGAGGCATCTATAGCCACCTTCCGGCCAAAGTAAGACTTGATGTCATTCTCCCGGATGGCGCCAGGAGCCACGTCGGCAATGAGCTTGGCCAGGCCATGGATTCCCATCCTAGGGAACAGAAAAGGGGATGTTGGGATCAGCCTCTGCACACACACGGTGCTGGGGGTTAACAGCTGGGGTGTGGGGGTGGCGTACCACCTAAGCAGGGGGGACCAAAGGGAAGTGGCTGTATCCCCTGTGAACCATTATGCCACGAGTTGCAGCCTCCGCTGGCTGCTGTTAGCTGGCTTCCAGCCTCAGCCTCCCTCAGCCCACCGTTAGCCCCCTACCCACCATTATGCCCCCACCTCAGCCTCCCCAGCACACCAGTATCCCCCCTTCCTCTGCCAGCCTCTCCCAACCCAGCCCCTCTCCCCACCACACCTCACCGTCCCCTCACCCCACCATTATAACCATCCAGGCCCCATTCCCAGCTCCCTGTTTCCCCATTACCCCCCTACCTACTACGCTTCTCCTAGCCACAGCCTTTCCACGCTTGCCTTTAACCCCTCTTCCTACTTCCCCCTGCCCCTGCACGCCATTCCCTGCCCCCCTTCCGTTATCCCCCTCCTCCCTCGGCCTCTCCCGACCCGCCATTCTCACCCCTCCTCCTCAGGGCCCGCCGCTATC